GTCTCCCTTCCTTCTCTGTTGCTATTGACACATTCTTTAGAGTCTCTTGTGAGGTTGTCAGTGCACTGCAGACCTTTTTTTCGTTTCCAGCTTCCGTCCTTCACCTTCCTCCCACACCTGTTTCTCCGTCGGCCATCGCCCATTGCCCATCGCCCATCTCCCATTGCCCATTGTGTTTTGCCATTCCCCACTGCCATCCGCTCCAAATCATGTCCGCTCGTCTTGCAGCTTTTAGACGTCCCAAACCCCTGTTACCCATTGCCCACTAACCTCAGAACATGCCCCCAAATCTTTTCTGCCCTCGTTCTGCTGCAGCACGCATCAAGTCTGGAAAGAAGGGCACTCCAGTGCCCTCCCCAGCAGGGGGAAGAGGGGCAGCAGCACTAGCAACACCAGCAGCAGCATCAAAGCAAGGAACTCCAATGGCGGCAAGAGCTGAAGGCAAAGATTCCGCACCGCGGAACGGGAAGGAAGTGACACCAAAGAAAGAGGTCAGTTCATAAAAAAAAAAAAAAAAAAGGTTCAGCGAAGAGTTGACTTTTGAGGTGCCTCAAAAGTGGACCCACTCTTCTCTCAGTCAGAATCGGAGAAGAAAAGGGTGGGTGGGTGAAACAGGAGATGTTATAGCAAAAAAAAAAGTGGTACCGTACATGCAACTGGGGAATGAGAACCAGCTGTTCCTGTTTGCGGGCCAAACTTAGAGCACTGTGCTTAAAAAAAAAAAAAAAAACTGCCCAATAATCATATTTCATCACATTGTTGATTCACATGATAGCAGTGACTGGCTGTACACTGTGCTGCAGACTGCATGTCCATGCAACTCCTGCCGCCTGCAACGCAGCAAAGTCATGGTGTTTCTGCTCGTATCCCTCCTTCACCCTCCCTCACACGCCCCTCTATCAGCCTGTGACGGGCAGCAAGCGGGCATCAGTGAGCATCGTCACTCCGCCCTCCTCGAAAGGCAAGGGGGAGAAGACTGAGCGGAAGAAGCCTCGCCCCGACACCCCCGCTGCCATCAAGACAGCAGGTGGGTGCGGGAAGTGTGTTTGCGACGGGCTCCAAACGGGCAGCAGTGAGCAATGCCACTCCGCCCTCCTCGAAAGGCAAGGGGGAGAACACGGGTGAGAGGAAGTAGCCTCGTCCTGATACCCCGCTGCCGTCAAGACTACAGGTGGGTGCGGTGGGGGGAGAAGAGGTGATGGGCAGCAAACGGGCAGCCGAGAGCATCGTCAATCCGCCCTCCTCAAAAGGCAAGGCGGAGAAAACGGGTGCGAGGAAGAAGCCTCGCCCCGACACCCCCGCTGCCATCAAGACAGCAGGTAGGGTGCGGGGAAGGTGGTGGTTAGCTCATTATAGTTGTAAGCGCCCCGCGCCGTGGGTATCATCAAGACAATAAATGGAATGAGGGAACCCGGTATTGAGCGCATCACACTTTTTGCCTCCCTACGCCCTTTCAGTGCTGGTTCTGTCAAGACAGCGGGTGGGTTGAGGGAAGAAGATGATGTGGTATTGAAGTTCTGAGAGTCGTGGGCACCTCACGCCCTGACACTGTTTGAGATTCCGTAAAAGTTGCTTCTTTACACCCAAATCCACAAACACGGTCTTTTGCTGTTGCTTTTGTGTGCAGCCAAGGTGAAGCCGCAGGCAGCTGCAACAGTAACCTCTCCTCAGGCCCAGAAGGTACTTGGAAGATTCACGCTCTCTCCATTCTGCTCCAAATCCTTTCCTAACTGATGCATCAGAATGCTACGCATCTAAATTGTCGACTCGTGTCGCTGTCACCTAATATACGGTATTACCATTCTCTACCCCATGCCTCCATAACTCCTTCCCCCTTCCCCACCCTGCATGGACTGCTTTCTGGAATGCGCAAGTCGCCTACTTCTGTTCCGATCACCTCGCCATCGACTCCTAAATCGGGCTCCTTCCCATGCACAGCATGTTCAAAGTAAGACCTTTGTAACGCTTGTATCTTATCAATGTAATTTGTGCTTGCCTTGCTCTTGTGTCTTTTTTCTTTACATGCTCCAAGCGCCAAAGCATTTGACCCCTTTTCGTCCCAAACTCAATGTCACTTGTCTTGCAGGAGATTCACGTCTTCTGACTCCTTAGCAAACCATGTAAAGGCGAAGCACCGCACAGGGAAACAGTGAAGCAACTCTGGTGTTATAGCTAGCTCGTCATCCTGTCTTAACGCTTGTGTTATACTCAGCAACAAAATGGTTTTACAAAGGGAACGGACTAGCACAAGCAAGTACAGCTTTCCGTCGTCTGAATTCAACACAAGCACAGTTACATTCATTTCCCCACCAGTTGTGACGGGCACGTGAAGTGCGAGTTGTTTGGTCTCCCAATTACCCTTTCGCGCAATTCTATTCGCAGTGCCCTCATTCAAACCACAACAGCGTGAGCCAGAGGGACGGACCGGGATTTTAAAGTGCTGACGTGGTTGGACGTGTTGTTGTTTGTTTGTTTGTTTTTAGGGCACATGAGTGTGCACCCTGGTACGACATGTGCACTCCTCTCCCCCCCCTTCCCCCCCGCCCCGTGCCTTCGCGGTGATGATATGGAGACGGCACGGCAGTTCTCCTGCGGAGCGGAGGTGACGGGAACATTGGGGTTGGGGTTGGGGGACACGCTGCCTGACATGCGCCTTGGCTTGTTCCCTGAAAACCTGCCCCTCACCAAGCCACCGACTGCTGCGGTTTTGCACCAACCTCAAGGCCTCATCCGTCCGTTGAAAATGACCTGGTATCATCGCAACCGTTAAAGTCCCTACGACGTCAGGCACACCCTGGAAGGAGCTTCGCGATTTCTGCCCCTGTATCGAAACCTAAACTGGTAACCAGTGTCGTCGAAACCGAATTCTCCCGTGGCGACTTGTGCCAGCATCCACAACAGGTTGACAACCTAATCCTCAACCCTAATTTGCGCCCTACCCGTCCTCTTCTCCTGCACTCAACATCCCCTCCTCTCATCCCCTTCCGCGAACTCAAATTGGCGCTACAATTGGAAAGATGAGGATCGAGGGTCAAAACTCAATCCGCCACCACAAAGTGGTCCCAAGGAGTTCTGTTAAACCTCCAGAACCAGCTTCAACCCCTACAGAACCAGCTCCAACCCGTCAACTCTGTACGCCCCGTCAACTTTGTAACAACCCTACATTCTGCGTCTCATCAAACCCTTCCCCATCTCCCATCCCTTGCGCGCTCCCCATCATCTCCGCGCCCCAACCCTAGTCCCTTCCGCCACCCCACCCGCCCAACGTGCGCAAGTTGCCTGACCGACTGCTTCCCCCGCCTGGCACCTGCAGCACAACTGCCTCCTCCAAGTTTCAATACCAGCCCATTTGTCCGCCATGGCCTCCCTTCTCTTTCCTTCCCTTGGCTTACTGCCGCTTGCTGCTGCCTGCTGTTGTTGCTGCTCCATGTGCTTCACTGGTTGCTTGCAACCTCCCAACCTTTTTCACATGATTCCCAGAGAAGGTAACAGCCACGTTTCAGCTGCAGCAAGAGCAAGATAGTAACTTCAGTCAAGCCGCACAGCGTGTAACCCGCGCAGCAACAGCTAGTTCGGCTGCGCTAGAGCAAGATAGTAACTTACGCGTGTAACCTGTGTAGCAACTGCTAGCACGGCTGCGCTCGCTCGGCTACGCTCGCTACTTCCTTCAAACCGTACTCATCCATTTCGTATAAATATGGAATCATCTACAGAAGCGAATGAAGAAACAGCTGATACATGCGATTGAGATTCGCATGTACGAAAGATACAAACGGTCTTCTTTTGCCTCGCTAGGCTGTTTTTTCCTAAACAGACTTCGCCGCTTTTGACTTGGCCTACGTGCACTAGTGCACTAGCCGTGTATTTTAGGGTTCCAGCGCCCACGGATGCATCCTCGCCGTCTACTTTCGGGTTCCATGCAGTTATTGGCTTAGATGTCATCCTAACCGTACATCTCGCCTCCACCTCAGTTCTCCCAGCAGCCGCGAATCCCGACAACCGCGTCCGGCGGGGCCATGGGTTTGCGAAGCAACTCTGGCAAGTCTGGAATCTCTTTTCTAACAGGCTGGGCAGTTTTTATAATATGCTCACTACTATGTGCACATTTGCTGCGCGCCGATAGCGCCGAAAGCGCCGCCGATAGCGCTGACAGCTCACGCCCCAACAGCCTTGCCTCCCGGAGAGACTCGGAGCTCGTAGTAAACAGATTCAAACCTAGATTTGCACTCAGATTTGGACACATATTTAGACATCTGCTGGCGTTCTGGGATGACACGTCAGCAGCTGCGGGTACAACCGTGGAAGGGTTGGGAGGAACTGGTAAGACGGCCGAGCCGAGGAGTGGCCGTCAGTTACTCCGACTTCTGGTCGCGACGGCGCAGCCGTTGACGGCTAAGACGAGTATCGAGGCGCCGCAAGAGGCGGCCGAGCCTAGCAGTGGCCGTCATCTCCTCCGCCTTTTGGTCGCGACGCCGCAGCAGTTGACAGCTAAGGCCGTCACAAGCGCCGTTGGAACCGCTGTGAAATCCGCTGTTAAAACCGCCGTGAAAGCTTCTGCGGGGAAATTAGTGTCTAAACCTGCCGCGAAAGGAGCCGTCCCAGCTGGACCGAAGGTTGCGCCCAAAACGGCGAGCACCGCCTCTAAAGCGCAGCCGATGCATAAAAGGGGTGAGAAAAACGAACGAGGAGAAAGAAATGATCGAAGAGGCGGGGGCGGAAGAGACGGCGGAAGAGGCGGCGACGGCAAAGGTCCTCCTTGCGACCCTAACAGGAGCCCTAAGAACTGTAGAAGCTGGAAGGGCCGCGGCTGGCCGGAATGGCAGCAAGGGAGAAACAACGGGGGAGGCGACGACGACGACGACGACGGGCCGTACGGCGACGACGATTACGACGACGACGACGACTCTGCGACCCCGACGCCCACGCCGTCTCCGCCGCCGCCGCCGGCGGAGGATATGGAGAGCGAGGACCGGTGGTGGGAGGGCGGGCGCGCGCACGTGATGTGCCACGATCGGGAGTGCACGCGGAGCAAGTGGGCTGGATACGTGCCGGATGTTGCGGGGACGGGCGGCGCGGGGAGCGGCGCGTGGGTGCCTGGGATTGGGTCGGGCGGGCCGACGGAGGCCGTGCGACTGGGAATGGGCGACAGTGCGACGACGACGACGGCCATGTTCGAGTCGACGACGACGCCGCCCATCCCGCCTGACGCTGTTGCGCTGGGGTTCCCGTCAGGACAGGTGCGATGTGAGAGGGGTGCGGGGGAGGGGCGGAGGGTCAGGTGTGCTACTGGGGGAAAAACCGTGCGGGGGGGGGGGGAAGAAAGGGACCGGGCAAGGGGGTTGAGGGGGAAATGGCGGGTGCGAGTGAATGGGGAAGGAAAATTGTCTTGCGTCGCTACCCCTGCCTGACCTTTGTTCCCCCCGTCCCCTTTCTGTCCCCTCCTTACCCTTCCTCCTTCCCTTTCCGCCGTGGCACCCTACCCTCCCCGCCACCCGCCTCAGGCCATGCTGAATGCGTCTCTTGGCGTTGTGACATCCACAGCAACAGCCGCCAGCAGCAGTGCTGCAGGCGTGACTCTTGAATTTGCTCCCTCCCATCCCTCTCCTCCTTTTCATCCTTCCGCTATTTGAGGTGCCTCAAAAGTCGCCTCAAGAGGCGCCTCAAAAGCAGTGCTGCAGGCGTGACTCTCAAATTTGCTCCCTCCCCTCCCTCTCCTCCCTCTCCACTCTCTCCTCCCTCTCCTCCCCGCCACCCGCCTCAGGCCATGCTGAATGCGTCTCTGGGCGTTGTGACATCCACAGCAGCAGCCGCCGCTGGTGCAGGCGTGACGGTGACTGTGTCTTACAGCATTCTTGTCTTTCCAATTGACACCACCACCGACCCCACTGCCAGTGCCTCTGCTGGCACTGGAAGCATTGGTAGCACTACTGGTACCGGCAGCACCAGCAGTGGGGGCACTGGCAGCACCGGCAGTGGGAGCCCCGGCAGTGCGGGCACTGGCAGTGGGGGCACCGGCAGCACCGGCAGTGGGAGCACCGGCAGTGGGGGCACCGGCAGCAGTGGTAGCACCGACAGTAGCAGCACCACCACAAGCAGCACTGGTAGCACCACCAATACTGCCAGCACCAGCAGCACAGGCACCACAGGTACCAGTACCGACACCGGCAGCACTGGCAGTAGCGGCAGCAGCGGCAGCACCACAAGCAGTGGTAATGCAAATCCCAACACAGCAATTGACACCAGCAGCAGCGGCAATACTGCCTCGGGTTCAGCCTCGGGTGCTGCCTCGGGTTTAGCCTCGGGTGCTGCCTCGGGTTTAGCCTCGGGTGCTGCCTCGGGTTTAGCCTCGACTTCTGGTTCTCCTTCTGTTTCTCCCAATCCATCCTCGTCCCAGACTTTTTCCATAGCTGCGGTTACGGGCAGCAGCACCGCGGCCGGCTCATTAGGTGACAGCACAGGCTCAACAGTTGCGCAGAGAAAGCAGTTACCCCAACCCGTTACACCTGCCCGATGGTTCTTAACCGGCCCTGATGCCCGCGCTGCCGCCGCTGCTGCTGCTGCCACTGGCAGTTCGAGCGCAGCTTCTGCGTCTGCCATGTCAGCTTCCAAGTCAGCTGCCACATCAGCTTCGAAATCAGCGTCCACGTCAGCAGCAACGTCAAAGTTTGCGGCAGCAGCGACAGGGACAGCAGCAGGGGGTGCGGTGAATGGCGGTGTGCCGTCTGGCACGCCGCAGTGCCAGGAGGGGCCGTATGTGAGCGCTGCCTTGATCCCTCTCGGCAAGTGCAAAGTGAAAGCCACAGCTACTTCGAAGGTTGTGAGGTACGTACTTTCCTCACCTCTTTCTCATTGTGGCTTATCGCCCTAAACCCCCCCCCCCCCCCCCCCCCCCCCTTTTTTTTTTTTTCCCATGTAGCCGTACCTACTCTATATCGGTAGGTCAAGACGTGTTCGGTATATCCTTATGAAGGTCGAGACGTGTTCTTAATCCGTCGTGTTCACTTTATTTTCTTTGCTTCTTTTTTTCCTCCTTCCTTCCACGCTCCCCTTCTCTGCAACCTCCTCCCAGGATTAGCAAGGCATGGTATGCCAAGCTGTCATATGGGGAACCCGCCGCTTCCAAATCATCCTCTGTGGTCTATGTAGGTTGCCAGCGGAAATACACTTTCCAGGTGCCCAATTTTCGAGGGCAGGTGCGCCAGGGCCCGGTCACACTGCGCGTGTGCCAGGCGGGCACGGCTAAAGCTTCCACCTGTGGACCAGTTACCATGACTTCAGCAGTACCTTACTGTGGCTAGCAAATTGACCAGTTTGCTTCCAGATACTTTTTTAGTGTATCATAGTAGTTGATTGGTGGCGGTGATGCAATGTCACCCATATTTTATATTCCGTTCATTTACATTTCAATCACTACGCAAACCTGTAAGGAAAGAAAGCCAGGTTTTGTTAACGTTTCGCTGCAGTCCGTACACCCAGTGCAGCACATGGGTGCGACCAAAAGCGCGTATACTCGAATGAATTTCACATGGGTGTAGCATTGCATCTAGTGCGCAGTCACCACCCACCACGAATCTCGCAGAGCAAATGAGTTTGTCCCATGAGCAGGGGAGTACTCACTTGAAGATCGCACGACGTTGGAACGTTCCGGGTTACGTAAATATCCAGACTTGGAAAGTTTTGAGCCTCGAATAAGCACATGAGATCGGAACTTGCTTCTCCACCTGTAACACGTGGCTAGTGCCGAGCGGGGTCTAACAGACCCACAAAGTTCGCGGCGCCGCACTCAGGGGCACGTAACGCGACTCCAAATGTCGCCCCTCAATCCACCACTCCACTTCAGTCTCGTTCGCCTCGTTCTTCCCTTCCCTTGAATCCTTCCCTCGCCGCCATCCACCATTGCGTTGCGTGTGGCACTCGGCAAAACCTCACCTCGACCTGCGATGCGATCAAGGCTCCACCAAGTGGCACCCCTCGCTGCATCCTACTCCATTCCAATCCCTACCAAACCCTCTGAACCGTAACTAACCCATACACCACCAGCTACTCCCTCTTTCTCCCTTCGCTTAGCACCATGGTGACCTAATCACGAGTCAACCAGCTCGTCTCCTCAGCATCCTCATTCCCCGCTGCACGACAACCATCCCTCTGCCCTTTCTCCACATTCAATACTAAGGCGTGCTTGTCGTGTCAAGTTACGAGTTTCCTTCCTCTCCTTCCGTTTCAGGCCTTTAGGGCTAGCGGGTCAACAGACTAGCGGGCACGCGAGCAGCACCAATCTTTGCAAGCGCCTGTTTGTCGTTTCCAGCTGGGTCCGCGGGAGACTCTGCGGCATGGAATGGACCGCAGGGATGTTCCTGATCTCTCTTCACAACACTAGCAGAACAATTTCGACGAATGTTTTCTCGTCGTATCGCCGGCCCCGTGCATTCTTGACACTTCTGTTCCCGAGGTAGCACACTGAGCTTGCAGAGTTGACGGACCATGGTGTCCCAGGCTTGGGGAAGACGAGCGACCACAAGGCGGAATGAGATGCTACAGTCGTAGCTTGTAGAATGAATAGTCGTGGCTCGTAAATTTTTGCGTCGACTCAAAAGTCAGCTTAACTTTGAGGCGCCTAATCACCTCATTGAGATGCTGCAGTCGTAGATTGTAGAACGAACATGCGCGGCTCGTAGATTGAATTGAGCCTAGGGGCGCTTTATGTTCAATACTACGGTAGTGGCGTTGCTCACTCTTGGCGAGCAGGGATTAGCTATCATTTCCCACCACAAAGTGACTCGCTAACGCGAATAAAGTATTCAAAATAAGATGGCTCGCGATCGCCGAAGGTGGCTCTTCCGAATTCAAATGTGGGTTTTATTCTCCGTGATTGTAGCACCGCATATTGTCGCCATAGCCGCGGCCACGGCCTTCGATACTAAAACGTCGGCCGCAAAAACCGTTGCAGCCAAATTGGCGCGCGGCGGGAGACACCTTTTGCCTTGGAGCGTCAGCATCGTAGCTAATCGCCAACGACGGTATGAATCAGCTGCTTATGCGGCTGGCTCATTTGCTGCGTCTGACGCTGCTTCTGCGTCTGTTGATGTCGAACCGAAGCAGTTCAGTTCGGAAGGAGGTTCGGTGCGGAGGACGCTCGCTACAATCACTACTAAGACAGCCGGTAGTTCCCTTAACGGTGGCAGCAGCGCCAGCAGCAACGGTGGTAGTACCGGCAGCAGCAACAGCAATACCAGCACTAGCAGCAATAGCAACAGCTCTGGGAATAATAGCGATTGGCTTAGGAACAATGCAGCGGACAACTTAAGCAATAATAGCGGGGGTAATAAGACGCAGCCTGTTGGTAGCAACAGCGGGGATCCCACTAGCAGCGGAGCGGTTAATAAAGGGAACAGTAACAGCAACGGCAACAGTAACAGTAACAGCTCAAGTGGCGGCGTGGACAGCATGATTGTAACGGTAACACCGACGATTCCGGAAGACGCGGTAGCCACAGGCCTGCCGGCCGGCAAGGTACGGCCGTCTTTCTTGCCAGCAAGCCGTTTGTGAGCTGGCTGGCTGGCCTCCTTCGCGTGTCAATGTAGTATTCGACATGGTAGTTCGCGAAAAAGGCACTCCCACGAGCTATTTTCAAACTCTGTACGAATAAACAACTAGGTTCACAGCTCATGTTTTGTCACTGTCCCCACTCCGCCCGTTCTAGTATTCCTAGGCCAGCCGTTCCAAACTCTCTCCACCTTTGCCTTTCCCCTCCCCGCTCCGCCAACCCTCCTCCCCTCTCACCCTCTTCCTCCCCCTTCGCCTCTCCCCCCTGCCCCCGCTCCTGGCACCAGGCGGTGGTGAACGCCACGGTGGACATTCAGGAAGAGCCGTCCCCGAATGGCACCGCCATGCAGCCCGTGGTACGCGCTGCTGCCGTCCTCGTTGCCATTTCTGTTTCTCTCTCCACTTAGGCAACGAGCGGTGACGTTTTTCAGACTGTAAAGTGGGAGCCGTTGACACAAGGGATGAAAGAACAAGAGAATACGAGGCAACAAACACAGAAACACGAGAATGCAGTAGTAAACGGCAGCACTGGGACCAGAAAGTTGTGCCACCTCACTTCACCGCACCACACCGGCTCGCATCCCTCTTCCTCCTTTCCACCTCACCCTTCGCCCCTCTCGCTTTTCGCCCCCTGGTTTCACGTTCCTCGCATTCAACCGAACCACACCGCCTCACATTCCTCTCTCTGCGATTTGGACCCCTCTGCCTGTGCCTGCCAGGCCGTTTTCAACTACGACGCCTTCTTTCTCCAACTTCCCGACACCTCCCCCACCCCCCCCCTCCTCGCACCCCTCCTCCTCGCACTCCTCCTCCTCGCACTCCTCCCCCCTCTTCTCCCTCTCTCCCTCCTCCCTCTCCTTCCTCTCCCTCACCACCAACTAACAAATCACCATCAACCCTTCCCTCCTCTTCCTCCACCTCTCCTCCCCTTCCACCTAATTCCGGGACCCTTCTATCCGACACGTCAGGGCCCCCTAACGACCCTCCCGGTTCGGGGCAAACTTCAGGTTCGGGAGGTGGGCCTGCAGGTTCTTCAGGAGGTTCCGGAGGTTCGGGAGGTGGTTCGGCAGGTTCGGCAGGGGGACCTGGTGGTTCGGGAGGGAAGGGGCAGAGCAAGCCTCAAAAGCCCTCGTCTCCTCCCTCGTCCGCATCTCCCTCCCTCCCTTCTCCTCCTCACTCTACTCCCCCCTCCCCTCCGAGTAAGCCTCCATCCTCCAAAACCTCCTCCCCATCCTCTTCACCTTCCTCCTCTCAGTCCCCCCCCTCTCCTACAAAAAAACCGCCTTCCGCTGCATCAAAGCAGCCGTTGTCATCGCCCACCAAAGCACCCTCAGCTTCCCCTGCTGCACACCCCAAAGGAAAACCCTCCAAACCCAAGAGCCCAACCTCCCAATTCTTCCCTTCCTCTGATTCCAGAAGTAACGGCGTTAGCAGCAGCAGCAGCAGCACCAAGCCCAAAACCACCACCAGGTCATTTTCTCTCGCCACCACTGCCTCTGTAACCACACCAGTGGTAACCACAACAACTGCAACCCCATTATCTGGGGAAGAAGAAGAGGATGCGGAAGCGGAGACGCAGGTGCAGCAGCAGGAGCAAAGGATACTGGAGTGGCATCGGCAGCAGCGGGAGAAGCAGAAGGAGAATCCGCAGGTGCTGGCAATGGCCATGGCGGACCAAGCTGCAGCCAAGTTCCCCTCCTACACGCCCTACTGCTCTGCTGGGCCGTATGTCACGGCTGTGCTGATACCATTGGGCAACTGCCGCGCTGTCCCACGAGGCAACAACGCCAGGATCGTCAGGTGAGACGCTGGTTTCGGTCCCGAGCCTGTGAGGGAGGTGCGGAGATTTTATCCGATTCCGCATTCCCTTTGTCAATCATGCATTGCACTTCAACTCGTTGGCCTCCCCCAGCATCTCCTTTTTAACCCTCTACTAATGAATCTCTCACTTGCTCCTCCTAACCCGCCTCAACCCAACCTTGTTTCTCCTCCCCCCACATCTCCCCCCACTTTTCCCAGGGCCGGCAATTCTCGATTTATCCGCCTGGACCTTGGGCGGCCAGTGCGCGGGTGTCAGCGCTCGTACCGCTTCCAATTGGTCAACTTCCGAGGGCGGGTGGTAAGGGGTCCTGTCACTCTCCGCGTGTGCCGCGCTGGGAAGCCGGGAGCCGCCACCTGTGGCCCCGTTACAGTCACATCCGCAGTGCCCTGCTGCTGAGAAAAGGGTGCTTGTAGCAGGATGAATGTTAATAGTTGGATCTTAATTAGAAGGCCTTACATGGTTGAATGATGGGTGGTTGAAACAACTAGAAGCATTGTGCTGAGTTGCAGGAAGTATACGCTATCAAATGGCGTTAGTCGGAAAGTGGAGGGTGTCTTAGTTATTAAAGGTATCAACCCTGTGTATTGTGGATTTCGTAACCAATAGATTGGATAAGCTCAATATTCAGCCGATGATTGATAATAGGTGTAGCCAATAGGTGCTGCTGCAGCTCCAGCGTAGCTTGTCGTCGAGCCTTAGCGGGTATGGCTTTCGGCGAGGGCCTCGAGGCACACTCTTCCCCGCTGGCTTCAAGACTGGCCCTCACCGTCGACTAGTACGGTAAAGGTAAAGGCAGTTGTGTATAACCAGAGATTAACTGTTAAAGGGGGATTTACTGTTCCTTTTGAACAGTACTTTCCCAACCCATCCAACTCATCCTCATCTTATCTTTCTAGATTTCCTAGTGCCACGTGGCACTCTACTTTCTTTGCCTCACATTTCCTAGTCCCACAGAGAACTTTTCGACATTCGATCTTGCATGCTATATCATCCTTGCTTATATCCACCAATATCAATCAATTCTCATTCAACTCTTCTTCAATTACTCAGTACCGTAATACCCCGAATATAAGCGCACATGCGCTTATAATAAAACCTGGTTTTTTGGGGGGGTGCGCTTATAATTGAGTCTGATTTATAAGCGCATGCGCTTGTATAAAGGATAAAATGAGTCAATTTTAAACACACCATTGTGAAGCTCTCAATAAGGCGAATTCAACCAACCATGCACCAAGTGGGATCGTGCATGGTTTTCAGGCAGAAACCGCAGCGGTTTGGTTTCCCACCGCACAATGTTGTCTGGAAACATCGACAGTGACAGCCGTGACGAGGATGTTGCCGTGCGGCCCAATCAGAGCCGCATGCGCTGCGTGGCATGTGCATTCGGGCAGAACCATCTCGAAGGTTCGGCAAAATTCCCTGCCAGCGCAGCGTAGATGCTGCCACGCATGCGCCTCTACGGGAGTAGGCGGGGGTTTCCTGCCTGTCATCGACGAGGAACCCGAGCCGCCACCACGCAGCAGGGGTCACCGTCGTTGCCCATTTCTTCACCCTCTTCTCTGATTTTTTCATTCAGTTTCTTGTCAACCCCGCCTGGCAGGCGAAGCCATGGCGGAATTTAGTGGGACTCACATCCTCTTTAAGAAAAAGCCCCGCCGCACATGGCGACTTACCGAGGACGGGTGGTATACCCGTGAGCCACCAGCGCCTCCAGTGCCACCAGATCCCCCTGCACCTCCTGCTCCTCCTGCTCCTCCTGCGCCTCCTGCTCCACCCGCTCCTCCCGCACCTCCCGCTCCTCCGAATCCGCCTGAGTCTGTTACGGCAGGTGCTCACCAAAGGCCCGTGCTCCAACTGTATTTACCGGCCACGTTCGACGAATGGTTAGCTGAAGCGGACACAACCAAGGCCCCCGATACACGCATCCAAGCTCCGGCGCCTGCTGCACCACGGTGGGGACAACCTGAATCCTGCGCGTGGGATGAGTCGGCTGTGGGCGCCGACGATGATGTGGCCGCCGATAAACATGACAGCGGCGCCGGCGAAGCTGGAGGCGACGGTGAAGCTGGTGGCGCCGGTGCAGCGGGCGACGAGGAAGACGTGTTCCCCGACCGTGACACAACTGCCGAGGACGAGGACGGTGTGGAGTCCTGGTGGCGCGACGCACCACGCGCGAAGATGCCGATACCGACGTATCCGCCCCTTAACAAAAAACGCCCCCACCCGTCTACCGAGAATCGAGATGCCCGCCCCCCCTCCCACAGGCACAAGCAGAGTCAACATAAGCGGCAGTCCTACACCGCCCAGGAGAAGTTGAGGTGGCTCGTGCGGCTCGAGCTTGCGGCTTCGGTGAGCGAAGTGGCGCGGGAGTCAGGCATACACCGAAAATGTCTGACAGAATGGAAAGCCCAAGCGGAGGCGCTCAAGGCTGCACACGGAGCACGGATGCGACTTGCAAAGCAAGCATTCGTCAGCAGTACCAGACTTGGTTTGAGGCGGACGGCATGAACATCCTGACCCCGGCAGGTGAGTGACGACATGTGCTCCCGTCTGCAAATCTTGAGCTTGTATGCCTGTTTAGTTGTCTCATGTTTTCCCCGCCCCACTCCGTGTGATGCAGGGAACATCAAGAAACCACCTCCGGAGGTGGTGCTCAAGTGGATTTCCCGGGCGTGGAAGGCGGTGCCCGCCGACCTGATCAAGAGAGCCTTCCTCATGTGCGGCATCAGCAACGCCCTTGATGGGAGCGAAGACAAACTGGTGCTGGCGCACCGGAGAGGCCAGTTGTCCCATGAGGTGGAGGTGGACGACGACATCCAGGCAGATGGGTTCTGGGGCAACAACTCCACCGAGCCCGAGTCGGACGAGGAGGAAGAATAGGCAGTAGGGTAGACTAGGCAGGTTGAAAGGTGTGTAGTGCAGGACAGCAAAGACCACCCTTGTATGTGATTGTCTAAGTTAATGTAAAGATTAGAACATGTAGGCTAGGTAGGTTAAAAAAAAATGTTATTTTTTTTTTTAACTAAATGGGTGCGCTTATAATAAGTCACGATTTTCCAAGGGGTGCGCTTATAATTGAGGATCGGCCATAAGCGCATTGCTCCAGATACAAGCGCATGCGCTTAACATAGGCCTGCGCTTATATCCGGGGCCATACGGTAACTTCTTTGCCTATTTCGCCAATAGTTCTTTCGCCAAAGTCTTCCGCCGCGTTTCATCCTCGACTTAGTCGACCCCGCTAATTCTTTAGCAGATTTAGGCCGTCGGGCCTAACACTTGGTATCAGAGCCTTCGCGGGGAGCGACTTCCAACGAGCGACCGTCGACGACGAGACTACGACGTCATCGTCCCGCGGTGCCGACTTGCAGACTTGGAGTCGTCGAGCGAACATGGGCGAAACCATGCACGCTCTCCCCCACGACATGGGCAACACGCTTGCCGAACTCATGCGCCAACTTCAAGAGTTGACGTTGGAAAATCGTCAGGTACGAGCTGAAATGCAACAGCTTCGTGAATTGGCTTCTAACCCCCATGGTCATGCCGCACCAACTCTTGCGCCCAACACGTCGACTGGCGCGGAAGCGCTGCCGGAAAGTCGAAGCGCGCTCAAGCCGCAGAAACCCGAGTCGTTCGACCCAAGTCAACGCGACGCGAACGTGCGGACGTGGCTCTTCATGCTGAACAACTACTTCGCCGCGAGCGGGTGCAAGAGGCGGACGCGCAGCAGCGGATCGAGTACTCCGTTACGCTGCTGAGGGGCCCGGCCTTAGAGTGGTGGCGCCAACTCACGCAAACTGCTGTAAGAAGGGCTCAGACGGACGGGCATCAACAGGGCGTGGGGCATGCAGCTGCAACTTCGAGCTTAGGTAGTTTAGCTTTGGGTGTTACCACGGTTCCGACCACATGGGAAGGATTTGAAGCGGCGCTGAAAAGTAGGTTCGATTTGGTGAACGCCTCCGAAGCTGCTAGGAAGCGCCTGCGTCATTTCCGACAGATAGGAAACGTCCAGGAGTACACACGACGGTTCTTGAGCATCTGCAACGAAATAGATGACATCACGGAAGCAGAGATGCGCGATCGCTACCTCGAGGGGTTGAAGCCGGACATAGCAGAAGTTATAGCGATTCATGGGTTGTCCACCTTCGAGTCAGTTGTCGCAGCAGCAGAACGCGTCGACGTAGTACGAAGCCGACGGGGTCGTGACGATCGCGATAGGGGATACAACAGACCGATCAACGACCCTCGATCGAGGGACGGACCATCGCCCATGGAGATTGGTGCATTTAACAGTGACGGCTCACAGAAAATGGGATTTAGGGGGAACTGTCACTACTGCAAAAAGCCGGGACACATGAAGCGGGACTGCCCACAGCTTAAGGAGCAGCAGCAGGGAAACGGAAACCGCCAGTAAATAGCGGGTCGCTAGCTGGTGTGGAGGTTCCCGTACCCGCCACGTCTACCAACGTAGAGGAGACGGCTTTGCAGCAGTCATCTACGGAGAACGAGGTAGACACTGTTGACCGACCAGTCGTGCTTCTAGGGAAGCTTCGCGGAGTTCCTGTTAAGATTCTCGTAGATAGCGGAGCTAGCCACTCGTTCGTGTCTTCATCGTTAGTCAGCCGCCTCCATCTCGAAGCAGATTCCGCAGTCAACTTCAAGGATGCTCGCATGGTAGATGGGACGCCTCTCCACATAGGACCGATCATTCGCAAGTTGCGCGTAGTGCTAGGACCGATCACAGTTAGGCGTGATTTCGACCCTGCGACGCTGGACGGATACGACTTCATCTCGGTAGAGATTGGCTACGCACGGTTAGTACTCAGTTCGATTGGGCTCAGGGAAGCTGCAGCGTCAAGGTAGATGGCGAGTTCCGGGAGCTGCCACAGTGGAGCGATGCGGCCACATCCTCCACAGCTATCATTAATGTTGTTCGTGTGCGACAGTTAGTGAAGCGTGCGGCGCGGATCTTTGCGGTTTTCCTTGAGGAGGTGGAAGCTGAGGAGGGGAAAGGAGGGAGTGCAGCAGTTGGTGCGAAGGCGACTCTTCCTGCTGAGGTGAGTGCACTATTAGCAGAGTTCGCAGACGTCTTCCCCGACGAGTTGCCCGCAGGGTTACCTCCTAGCCGAGCAGTAGACCATCGAATAGAGTTGGAGCCGAGGAGCAGGCCAGTAGCAAAGCCGCAGTGGAGGTTGAGTCCAGCGGAGACAGAGGAGATGACGCAGCAGGTTAGGCACTTTCTCGCGCAGGGGTTCATACAGCCATCTAGATCGCCTTGGGCAGGACCGATCCTCTTCGCGCCTAAGAAAGACGGAGGGTTACGGATGTGCATAGACTATCGCGCACTGAACGCCGCCACCGTCAAGAATAGATTCCCGGTGCCGAGAGTAGAGGATCTT